TTGTATTTGTCGAATTAACTGCAATAGAGTCAAGACTAGAGCAAAGAATACACAATGACAAGTGCGTTTTCGTTAATTTTCTATTGAATTTCAATCTTTTAATGTAGATATACGTGTCAAGAACGGCAAAATTAATCAGGAAATCTTCCTAAAAAGTTTCTTATCTGAATTAAACATGAGTAATTCCAAATAAATGAAGTTGTTACATATTGACATAAAGAAATGTTTCGTTGCACGCTGGTATTGATCTTCGGAAAATTCGATAATCTAAGATACTGCTATTTAAATAGTAGATATAAATAAATAAATGTTCAGCATGCATCATCATGTGAGGAAAAACAAGCAGACAGTATTTTTGGGTTTTTGTTTTATATCGCTTAATCCCAAGCGTGATTTTTAAACAACTTTAGCAGGTAACAAGGTAACTGTAACCAGACGTAGGATTAGATCATTTTCAGTATGAACGAAGTGGGTACTACTTATGTTAATTTATTACTCCCTGAGTGTGATAATATGCGGGATCATCCATACCTCTCGTCTCTGCTTGTATGAAACCGTTGACAGACAAAAATGTTTATTTACCCACAAATAACTGCCGCATGCGAAGCGATAAGATACGAGAAAATTTGCTTGAAAGAGTGAAGAATGTGGTTAAATATATATTACATGTAACGCATCGGCGTGTTATGTTATGCATGGAAACGACGCGTATGTAAGAGACATTTAAATTATCGTTCGACATACGAGCGTCAGTTACAGCTCGACGGTGAACGCGCGCGAAGCTATGCGCATATCGGTCGGACCCCCGGTGGTTAGCTGCTTACCGCGTCCGTCCAGTTTCCATCGCGTGGCTGAAAAATAAAAGAGTCTAGTTCAGTATACAGCGCGATGAAAGCCGATATCAAAGTGCTTCGACCACCACCACCACAGCCACCATTCGGTTAACAATCGTGTGCCGTGTTTATTGTTTCGTCGGTGAACGGTGACAACGCTGCTTCCAAGTTTTAAACATTTCTCCGTTATTTACCTACTAATTGCTCGATAATAATATTAATTAACGCCTTCGTTTCACACTTTCTTTCATTTTAGTGAATTTTTTAGTACATGCTGTTCCGCGTTTCGTAATCGTTATTGTTTCGAATTTGTTTCGCGTTGCGAATTGCATTGCGGTGAAATCCGTAATAGTGGCAATCAATTCGAAAACTGGAAACAAGCGCACAATTTGCTCATCGGCGACGTCGCGCGACCATCATTAGAATATCATAAAAGCAGCGCGTGGCGCTATCTTATTAATGGACTGGTTTCTTGAGTCGATTTTATTTATCGCGTAAACACGTCGCCGGCCTTCGCAATGTCATCGGAATAACAACAGTATCACGGCTATTATTAAAATGCGCACGTTGTCTTAGCGTTTCGAGGAATATAAAGTTACGAGCGTCATCTTTAATACATACTAATAATAATGTATGAGGTGTCGAGCGTTGGCGGTAGTAAAGTAGATGCAGCCGCTGCGATTCGGCACACGCACCGCCCGCAGGAAGCCATGAAGCATCAAGTGATGAAGTTCTTGCGGCGGTCGAAATCATTAGCTCGTTCTCCTACCGCCAACGGGCAGATAAAGGATAAGGACAAAGAAAAGGAGAAGGATAAAGACAAGGAAAATAAAACTCAACCGAAGGCTGTGCACACAACCACGTGTAATGGGAATCATGTTAATAAAGATCAAAGCAAAAGAAATGGAATGGTGGTTGCCATTGTTGACGGATTGCCCTTTGTGGTCGGAGCGAAAAACAAGAAAAAGGTTAGCATTCTATCCATTTATCAATCACAACGTTCTGTAGTAAATGCCTATAATCTTGCTAAGCGTTATATCTATCGCTCAATGCGATATGATAAACGAGTCAATAATTTTCGATAATCGTGTGCAAATAACAACTTCCTGAACCGCAAACTTCGAAAGCATCATTCGCTTAAACAATAATAATGACAGCAATGAATAATGCAAAATTCCAGCATTAAAAAGCAATTTTTATACAATTATGTTAAAATAACACACATTTTGCACGTGTACACACTCCTCTTATCTCTAATTTGGTCAGGACACTTTTACAACAGTCCTGTAACCAAGCGCTTAGTTAATTATATACTGGGATATACAAAGATGCGTACATAATATACATTAACGCAAACCGAAAACTTTTGACATTGTTGTGTCGAATTGACTAACAAACTCTCCCACACGCAGTAACAGTAATGGGGGCGAACTTAATTTGAGCGCCAATCCTATCAGAGTATGCTTGTGTGGTCAAAGGAGCGCTGAAATTCTAATTTTAGGACACATCGAGGGGTGAATTTTCAGGGCGTCGAATTTTATAACGCACACGTGACGCGTAACTCACGCAGACTAAGTAATTGCTATTAGGTAATCAATGCGTGCCGGCGAATTGCCGCCGCCATACCAGTAAGTGTAAAATGATGCCGGGACGCCGCATGGCATACAAACAAATATAATGCTATTCCGAAGCGTCGATGGAATGCAAAAGAGCGCATATCGAATGACTGCAAAATATTAATAACAAACGGTACAGGTCACCGACGACGATGCCGAAGTGACGATAACGATGTATGAATAACAATAGATTTCGTTTAGGTTTTCAGTTATATTTTGTCGGCGACAACGGCGCGGAGTGTCGTTGCTTCTTTTTGTCGTGACAACTTTGATGTAAAATGTAGTCGTCTGCCGGTAATCGGCGTGCGCACGAAAAAAAAAATTAATTGTCTAATAATATGGTTATAAAGGCAGATAAAATGGGCAAATTGTTTTCGCGTGTCGGCCGAAGGAAGCGTGATTCATACGAACTGGTACGTCAATTAAATGTTGTGGCGAATGCGAACGATGAGTTTATAGTTTGGTGCAAATGCAAAGTGTGCGCACCGAATGATTCCGCTAGAGCTGACACACGGGAGAGAAAAAGTAGCACACCTTGTATTTATGAGCTGTATAATTTGAAAAAGCCCAAATTTACTCATGTAAGTAATGAACAATTTGCACAACACATTCGGCAGCTAATGCCGGCCTTAAATCGAAAGTTTCGACATTTATGTGGCATCATTAAACGCGAGTCGTTAATGAACGTCAGTTGAATTACCATCATTATTAATTCACCGGAAATTGAATTAACCTCAACTATTATTGGTATTGAAACATGAATTTAGCTACATGAATCAATTATTATTGATATAAAAACAATATTTGGCTAGGTTAATGGACTTTTGTTCGAAAATTTAATTATATTTAGTTTATAAAAGCATTCTTTTGTTGTGTTGAAGGTTTGAATGTGACAATTGAGTGTTGTGTTGCCTACAATCGCGTTGAACCAACATAAAAAATTACGGTGCACACGCACCGCGACATTGCATGGTGTTTCATGTATGTAAAAAACGTCTCCGTTGCCTTTGCGGGGGAAGGCTCCCATATACCGGCTCGCTGACCTTGTCGGCAACGATGGCCCTCCTACATACATATTGATATTCATATGAAATTTTAATTCGATACTGTACGTAGACGTAGTCACTATTTCATTTCATTCTATATTTATCGTCGGCTTGCCGCTAATCACACTATACCTACGTCAACCTGAGCTGGAAGTTTATTTCAGTTCGATTTCGATCAAAATATGACGACTGTACTACAATTACACTTGGTGCTATCGTGTAATGTTGTGTATGTATGTACTTACGTTGTAATTAAAGGTCTAGGCTGTGACCTAGGAAACGAATGGTTTTTATTATTCAGGCGTCTTTCGAATGTGACAATGAACCGGCGTGGTACCTGGCGTGCGTTAGCAGGCTTTATTATAATAATACTTTCGGCGTTTTATGTTTTTTCGCAGGTTGAAGTGTGTATTATGAGTCGAAGTTTTGTCCGCGTTAATTCATTCACATCTTTAGAATTAATTCTGCCGTGGCTACTTTATCGCGATTCTCACTGGCAGGAAACAAAACAAACAAGCGTATACCGTTGCTCCCAGGCATATTGGGTCTAACTGTAAATAAGCAAATTAGTGAAATGTTAATGTTTTACAGATATTTTACTCGTTTTTTGCGGTGTTTAACATGAGATCTTAAAAAAAGTGAGAAAATTGTGCAAATTAGTTTGATATGGAAAGTTCACCGAGAACAGAAAGAAAGTTCGAAAGTGTAGTCTCGTTTGACTTGTTTGTTGTTTGGCATCGAAAATAAACGAGATGAAACGAAAGTGGTGCTTAATGAGAGATTAATTATCTAGTTCAACAATTAATCGATGAAATTGATATTTTTAAATAAAAATAACTAATATTCTATAAAAGTTTCCATACAGTAGGTGTACTTGTCATTGAACCGGTTCTATCATTTTTGTAACATTGGTGATCAAGTTCAAATTACAATTTAGTTTATCACACGTTTTCAGCCGATTTGTCTGATATGTATCTAGTCGAGCCATCGTGTAATTGCTATTTACTTCTTTATCAATACAAATATAATACGTACTTGCTCTGTCAATGAGACAGCATATAGATAAACATTTGAATTGGCTACGTCCCCACAACTTCTCGTTTCAAACGCACGAGTAATGTAAATATATTCGCCAAATTAGGTTACCAGGCAGATTATTTTATCGCGAAACCTTCAGTATACGTACCCACTTCGTCAAACATAATGTTTAGTATAAATAAGTAACATATTAACATTTTCTTAATTTATATATCTGTTTCTGTCACGGGGGTCTTGAATATGCCAGTATAAATATTTATTATGAAGGTTGTTTGCTAAAAAATATTGTAAGTGGTTTAGAATGCCGAAAATGAGACAATCGCGCAACTTGACTAACTCGGGCACGCTGAATTGCCTCTAATTTAAGATCGGCGTCTGTATTGTACAATATACGAGCATAAAAACCAACATGTGTCATTTATTGTTGATGGGTTGTATGATGTCGATGTTGGCGAACTAGACGTATGGTATGATTGAGTCACCGCGTCAGAAGTCGATATCTGTTCAACCAACGGTGCGCTCATGCGAACATCGCATGCGCGTTTCGCTGAGTAAACATTACTTGGGGCTTTCGTAAACAGCCTATACTGCCTGCAACCGTAGTCCTCCGCATTAACAAGTTGCGGAGTAGGAGAGGAAATATAATGTTACATCACATGAACGCGCCGCTTGCACGCTCTGTGTTTTAAACAATGTTCGAAACAAAAAAAAGTGCTGGAAACGAATGACTAACACAAAGTCGAAACCATCAACATTATACAGTTCTCGTCTGTTGGTTGGCGGACTGATGTTTCGCATTATTATGGTACCTTTGTGGAACAAATGTACTAGGAGCGTAACAGTATGCGCCGTACCGTTAAATAGGTAACCTCGGTATCGAGCAAGCTCCGTGTTACTGAGCAACAAATATCGAATGCAACGTATAACCACGCGCGCCGTGTTTCGTATTTTTATTATATTTGTGCGCTGCGCGCCGTTGTCTCGTTGGCTGCGATAGTTATCATTTCGCTCTTATCGCCGGCGATAAGCGAGACAATCAAGTTTACCTTTGTAATTGGATTCAGCACTGTGGATTGGTGTCGTTAAAGTCTATAATATTTGTGTGTGGCGCGGCAATCTCGCAAGACTAGTACACATAAGCAATTGAGTGTTGGGTGGTTACATAAAATCCAAATCATGGGGCGTGATTAGTGGTTGCAAAAAGTGAGCGTGACCGCGCATCAGTATGAGCCAGGTCACCAGTGGTTATATCAACAGCAAGGATATTCCGAAATCGCCAAAATTCGAACGTGCTACTTATAGAGGCCACTTTACTGAAAAATATATAAATACTTTGCGACGCAAAGGTTCTTGGACGGGCGTTAAGGATATCACCAGGGTTGCCGTGCAAAGTGATAACATGCCCTTGAAGCCGGGAAAAACGGACTCGGTAAAAACTAAGTTCAAGTTGATGCCAACCACGAAAAATGTATACACATTACCGCAGCCCACAAACTCCACAACTACACAGGCGAAACCAGGCGCGTCTAATAACAGTCCACCAGCAAAAAAGGGTTTTATAAGTTTGGGGGACACAAATGTCTACTCATTGCTACCATCTAGTGCCCCACCTAAAACGATTCCGCCGCCAAAATTAATTAATCCGATTGACTCAGCGGTTAAAACAGCCGACATGGATTTAATGACTTTAGCACCACTAGAAAGTTTGATAAACACATACGAGATCGAGGCGAAGAAATCGAAGAATATGGAACGTTTTGAAGAGATGCTCAGTAAAGTAAAAGGCGCGTCATCGGCAGCCAAACAAACCGATGCTGCTGAAAAGGATAAGAATACTTCTCCTACACTCCCAAAACGTCCCGCCAGTCCTATCAAACAAAAACTGGGAGTTTATCAAGGTGTTTCAAATTTTATGAAACCTGGTATTAGTGATATGCAAGCACCGCTTGAAGAACCATCATTGCGGCGCACAAATCGTTCGAGTACTTCCGAAGTGGAGAAATCAGAACCACCGAGAAAGATTCTTCTAAGCAGGACCGTTTCCGCTGCTCAAGAAGCGGTGGAACGTGCGCCTAAATCTGTTGGTGTACCAAAACCAAGACCCAGAAAGGTATAAAACGACAAAACGAGCATTGTCTCAAGGCTTTCAAGCAAGAAGCGTTCTTTGTGGCGAGTCATTTTTAATTTAACGCGGTGTTTAACATGGTTTATAGATGCGCGTGGTTGTGATGGCGAAAACGTGAATATTTACAAATATACAAGCCATAATACCGAGTACTGTGCGCGCGTTGTTATTGAATCGAAAGACAAATACATCGGGTATTTGTAATTTTTTAATATCTGCTGAGGCCAAACATTGTCAGCGACGTAATTGTTCAAATTCATTTCATAATCATATTGCGTGTTTTTCTTTGTGCTAATTATACGTTCATTTCTTTCAGAGTGGAAATGACAGCTCAGAAACAACAACGGTTAAATCATCCCAATCGGCCCATCGGAATAGACGGGCCGGCGAAGAACCCACCATAGGGAAATATAAATTGCTCAAGACCATTGGCAAAGGTAACTTTGCCAAGGTAAAATTGGCCAAACATTTGCCCACCGGTAAGGAGGTTGCAATAAAAATTATCGATAAAACGCAACTGAATCCAGGTTCGCTACAAAAATTATTTAGAGAAGTAAGTATAATTTCCATACAACTTATTTTCTCTCCTTTATGATTATGATGATAATATCTATTATTATATTATTATTTTTTGTAACAGGTTAGGATAATGAAAATGTTAGATCATCCAAACATAGTGAAACTATTTCAAGTGATTGAAACCGATAAAACTTTGTACCTGGTCATGGAGTATGCATCCGGCGGTGAGGTCTTCGACTACCTTGTGCTCCATGGTCGAATGAAGGAGAAGGAAGCGCGCGCCAAATTTCGGCAAATCGTTTCCGCTGTACAGTATTGCCATCAGAAGAGGATAATTCATAGAGATTTAAAGGCTGAAAACTTACTGTTGGACAGTGAAATGAACATTAAAATAGCGGACTTTGGATTCTCGAATGAATTTACGCCTGGCAACAAATTAGACACGTTCTGCGGCAGTCCTCCGTATGCGGCACCCGAATTATTCCAAGTAAGCAATTAAATTGTGAATCACATAATTGCGTTTGTCATTGAACTGTTGTTTGCAAAAATGACTCTACAGTTACTCGGGTTTTTTAAACTAAAAGTGCGCCTTTTGTTATTTAGGGTAAAAAATACGATGGGCCGGAAGTGGATGTGTGGTCTTTGGGAGTGATATTGTACACTCTAGTCTCTGGTAGCTTACCCTTCGACGGTTCGACGTTGAGGGAACTTAGGGAACGCGTGCTTAGAGGGAAATACAGGATTCCATTCTACATGTCAACGGACTGTGAGAACCTGCTCAAGAAATTTCTGGTGCTTACGCCTACGAAAAGAGCCTCCCTTGAGTCAATCATGAAAGATAAATGGATGAATATGGGGTACGTTGGGTTAGTCACTGCAATTCGCTACATTCTAAGTGTCGTTCTCTGTGTTTCAACTAGCGCAATAGTCCGTATGATGGGTTGAGTAAAACTTTACTGATTTTAGATGATGGATAATTAATATGTTGGGTGGATGAGATAGATGAGATAGGACCACTTGTTACTAATGTTTAAGTTTAGTACAAGAATAGAGAACGATGAAGATTTAAAATCTTTGCAAATTTATGTTTAAGAGATTTTCATTGTCATTGTGTCGCATTTTTGAGTGTAATGTATGATTTGGGTATGTACATTGCTCATCAGACACTTAGTGCATATCGTTTGTCTTAGCCATCCAACAAATGTACAACAATATAGTTAAATGTGCTAGAATGTAGATCGTAGATTGTCTCGTCTTTGGTTCTCCTGTCATAAATTGCTGTGGAATGTGTTCATTGAGATTTGATTAAATTGAAGTGTTGTTTTGTTGGATTTCTTTTAGTTACGAGAACGACGAACTCAAACCGTACATTGAGCCACAACCAGATATGTCGGACCAGAAACGCATTGAGGCGTTGCTATGTTTGGGCTATACTAGGAATGAAATCGAGGGAGCTTTGGATAATCCCAATTATGATGATTTGTTTGCAACGTATATTTTATTGGGCCGGAAAAGCACTGACGTAAGTTATATTATCTTATTATATAGTATAAAAATAGGAGGGAGCAACATTGAGCACAGGGAGCTCTTTATAACTGCAACTAACCCTCAAAAGGTGGTGGGGGATTATGTTGACATTATATTTACATATGTATGTTATTGTTTTAGCCGGAAAGCGATGGCAGCAGAAGTGGGAGCTCACTTTCGCTCCGTGGCATAACTGGACAGCAGGCAGTAGGTGCAGTTCAACCCACTGCCCAGAGCCCATCTCATCGAGGTGTGCACCGGTCTATTTCTGCTACGAACGCGAAACCCAATCGACGGGCGTCGAGCGGAGGTTTGTACATTCTCTGCAATGAGTTGCATTTCAGGATAATGTTTCTCACTTACCTTAGATATAGCTCTCTTTTATTTTGTCGAAAAGTCGTGTGAGTTTGCATGTGTACATAGTTTGAATCACTAAGCGAGTATAAGCTTTCGTTTACCGTCGGTCTTTATTTGATTTTAATGGCATGTCATAAATTTTATGTAGAGTGGCTTGAGACAAACGAAAATCACAGAGCTATATAATTGTCATCCATATTGTGTGTGTACATAGGAGAAACTTTGCGTGCAGGACCGCAGACAAACCAAGTAGCAGTGCCTCAGGCCAACAACCACAGTTCGGGTTTCAAGAGGCAAAATACGATCGACAGCGCCACATTAAAGGAAAATTCGGCGCGGATGATCGGCGGTACACGTCCAGCCACTGCGCAACCGAAGACCACCACCGAAAACAGTAAGTTTCCAACTTCGAAACAAAAACCAGGGGACGTATGACAAATGATAAAACCATATTTTTTGTTTCCTGATTATAGGTGTACAAAGTCCAGGTAAGCAACGCACGGTCGTTAAGAACAACCAGATATCAAGCACAAACCAACCTCCTCTGACTTCAGGCGGATCAGTCGTTCGAAGATGTACGATCAGTTACGAGGACAAGTCCAATTCCATGGAGAATTCAAATTTGACGTCAGACCGTATACCAATGTATGTATTAGACCACTGGTCCTCTATGTGTGGTGAGACAACTTACTTATAACAAAAACCGCCTGCCCTCGGTTCTGTGCAAATCAGCAATCAAAATACGACTCTCCTCCTTGTACAATCTTCTCCAAAATGCGCGTGTCATTAGTAGTAACTAGTTGAACCTTCGATGACTTACTTGCGCAGTGCAAAGCTCTCCTTCGCACCCTCGTTCTCGCTCAATTCAACCACTAATATATACACCCTGTACAAGCTAAGCATAACGTACTAAGCTCTTTGTGGCGTGTGTGCAATTCTTCGGCAAACGCGACACAATTCGTTGATGGCAAAATTACTAACAAACTTTGTTAATGCTAACCGCATGCCAGAGGGTTGGGTAGCACAGGGGATACTGTGCGGCCTGGCAAAGGACACGTTAAGTCAGCTTCGGTCAGTAGTAGTGGCCCAGAACCCACTACGGCGGACCCATTGCGTTCTAGGTATGTGCTTTCAAACGAATCCAATGCCATTAATTTTTCTTTATTTTAAATTGCATTATTTACTTTTCTATTATTTGGTGTCAATGTGCAAGTTAATTAATTACGTGTATTGATAACACACAAATACTGGCTGACGATTCGCTCGCATTTTATCGCGCCATTCACTTCATATACCCACACATTATGTCCTAATTGTTGCGAAACACTTTAAGCCAAGTGGTGTTTGAGTTTAATCAGTCGTGCGATAATTGCGATGTATGTATTGTGATTTACTTGCTATCGTGGTGATCAAGGTTTTTGCTAATTGTGTTTTACTGTGTTTTGTTTTTTGATGATGGTTTTTCTTTATTTCTAGTCCCATTATCATGTATATCTCCTACCATTCGCACATATTCCCTCAAAAAATATTTAGGTAAAGGTGCTTTTTAATATTACTCAATTTAATTATACTTGTGATCATACGCGCAATCGCTACTAACACCTGCACGCAACGCACATCACACAAACGCGATGATGATCCGATAAACGATAGAAGTGCTTTTATCATGATTAACTAACATTCGAGGACTTGAATACTTTGCACATTGTCTATATTATTTTTATTTCTAACTTTTATTTGATTTGAATTATATTATTTTCTATCATGTTCTGAAGATGGCTCTAGAAATCTTCGTGATGGTAATGAATGTGCTCTTGTTTCAACAGCCGCGGAGGTGCACAAGCCAGAGGAGGAGGCGTGGCGTTTCCAAGAAATACGTCTTCTCGTAGTACTTTCCATTCTGGTCAAACACGGCAAAGGGTAGCTTATCCCCCAGCGCAGCAGCAGGGACACACATCGTTTTTCTCAAAGCTGAGTTCCAGATTCTCCAAGAGGTGAGCATGCATTTTGATTTACATTTCATCATCGCCATCCCTTGTAACTTTTGTCACATCAGAAGTGTGAAACAGTTCTCGCCATTTAATTTTCAAGACAACTTCTTTTACGCACATTGCTTTGCATACCCACGCACATATGATCAAAACATTGTTAAATAACGTCTCTTGATGTAGTAATTGTTGCTCTTGGTATGTGTTGGTCAGTCTCTGCTCTCCTCCCTTTTTAATCTCTATGACATTTGAGCAAATGTGGTTTGGTGATGGTTCTGTGCGAATTTTAATTGGGATGATTGATGATGAACGAACGGTTGCGAGCGGGGTTTCTATTTATTTGTTGTGTTGTGCTGCGTCCCCGTCGGCCTTATCACCCTTGCTCAAGACTGTTTCTGGTTCAGGCTCAACCAGTAGAGGCCGTGTGGGGACGCCGCATCTTCTCAGCACTCAGGATTCCTACATCGTTTGCTCGCAATCGTCGTCCACAAATCGATCCGCCTTCAAAGCAATCAAATTATCACTGCATATTTCTTTGGACAAAGCATAATCTAATTCCGTGGAGCACTATCACGAAATTGACAAAACAACACGCGCCCAATCAATATCGTGCTTTATTAGCAGCATTGCTAAGAATACTACTGACTTAACAACAATTAGTTTTATGCGGTAGTTCAAACGTTGTAAATGTTAAATTCTTGAAACGTACTAAACAGATAAGTGTTTAACACGTGATATTATATAAATTGTGACCACAATTAGAATTTATTGATGAGATTATTGAGAATGATTCAAATACTATATTTGATGTAAAAACAGACATTGAACACACTTTGTTGTAATAGTTACTTTTATTTGAATTAGTATTAAATTTCATTTATTATTTGCATTTGCTTCACAAATCAGTATTTTACTGCAATTGTAAGTATGGCAGCATAGTGCAATTATGGGTACCAAATAGTTTATATTATCTTTAATGTTGACTTAAGTAGTTAATGTATTTTATACTTATACAGTCTTCCCTACTCACACTAAACCAAAAATGAACTAAATATCCGTACTTGATATTTTAAAACATCAAAATGCTTACTTGAAGTTAGTTAATCTATACTATAGTTTTATAAATCAGAAGATATTTTATTTGTCAGAACAAGTATGAATTAATCTGAAATGTCAAAAGCCTAATGTATAATTAAATTCCTTCATAAACCTAATTATGTTGTTTGTATCATTTTACTTAAATATTGAATTATTTCTGTTCACTGAACAATTTTAGTTTTGTCGTTGTAATTCCATCATAATTTATTATTAAATTACGAGAAAAAATGGGTAATCAATCAATCATGCTTTCTTTTGCCGCTGACTAACATGGGTAATATGTTTATGTTTAATTTTCATTTGTTTTGTTTCTATTTTCTTACAGAGCATTAGAACCTGGTCAAACCACTAAACAAGGCACATCTCCTCTACCTATAAGCGGGTAAGTTGATGTGAGCCGCGCTTACCCTTATAGGTCGCTTTCATATTTGTCGCAACTGACATTAATTAAGTGATCATGCGTTTCAACATCGCGTTGTCGAATTATCGTCGAACCGATTGGCAATTTGTTTTGTTTTTGTTGCAGAGTTGTAAGCAATCAAAACGACGACCAGGTGAAGCCGCGATCGTTGCGATTTACCTGGTCCATGAAAACGACGTCAAGTCGGACTCCGAAAGAAATCATTACCGAAATATGTAAGGTGCTCGACGCCAACAACTGCGACTACGAACAACGCGAACGATTTTTGTTGTTATGCGTTCATGGTGACCCCAATACGGATAGTCTGGTGCAATTTGAGATTGAAGTTTGCAAGTTACCCCGCCTGTCTCTTAATGGCGTTAGGTTCAAAAGAATTTCAGGTGATTGTCAGATTTTTATTGCAGACATATTCAAGTTTTTAATAAACAACTAATTAATGACTTGTGTTACAGGTACTAGTATTGGTTTTAAGAATATTGCCAGTAAGATAGCAAACGAACTGAAACTGTGACTGCCTGTTTGTACGGACGAATCTACGGACCCTGCGTAAATGAATGCAACCGCCGAACACACAAATGAATCATTATTGAAAATGATCGCGAACAGTGTAGTGAACTTCACCATGCAAATGCGTAACTTTTTAACACCCCCGCAATCAATTACGATAATACTAATAACTTAATGATTAATTGCAAACCGTGTTTGGACATTCAGCAGCGCGGGCAAAACGTTTGACCCGTCTCGTACGCGAAAACCAGTTTCACCCTGTGACAATTCGGATGGATCAATACCTGTGAACAAAAATACAGCAAGTAAACAGATGCAAGTCCCTAATGACGAAATGATGCTTCGGTTGCTCCTTGATAAGCAACACTAAACAAACTGAACTAACTTAATTTTTACATAAATCATTAACCAAATCAAGTCGATTTTGAATGTGTTGTTCTTCACGATCACTACACAATCACGTTAATAATCATATAAAATGAACTCGACACGTTTAGACATCTGTAATAACTAAATGATGGAAACTTGCATGTTTAATGAAACGTTAGTATATAAGACTTTTACAACGTTTTTTCAACATGTTTTCTTGTGTTTCATGAAGTAAGATCTTAACGAACAATTTTAAACTAAACGATTTATTGCTAAGTATTGAAGCTTATAACACAATATTTATTGATGAGAGATTTTTGTCATGCTTGTGATATACATATGGGGAATTGATTAAGGGGGCAAATTAGAAAGAAGAATTTATTTGAATGTTGAATATCACAATCTGCACTGCTAAAACTGTACTCGATTTTTAAGTTTGATCGCAAATATTTTCTAATGGAATTCTATGAAATTAGTACATTTTTGAGATCTCCCGAGAAGAATGCCGATGCGAGAGGAGCCGAAATTTAATTTACTAGATACCAATTGACACTGTCTCCAAGCATAATATTCTGTTCATGACTGCTACAATAGTTTCATGTCAATAATGTTCGAACACTGAAGGCGCGGAACTGCAGCACGAACTGTATTTAGCTGCAGATGACGTTTATACATGTTTTAAGCCAGAATAAATTATGGGTTGGAAATTTCTTGAATACTTGTACCCATGAAACGATCGAATTATGAACACATTTGGAAATACAATACGTAACATTTGTAGTTGATAGTATCTACAGACATGATGTCCCTCTTGGAATAGTAATTGCGCTTACGTTTATTTATCTCCTGTGAATAATTGATCATCTAATTTGTTACGAGATACGTCAAACTCACAGTATTTATGGGATAGTTGACACACATCTTGAGTACTTCTTTTGTGAAAAGAATTTAATTAAGACTTTTAACAACAATAAGCGAATTGATTAAAATGCGGCTCTAAGAAAAGCTTCTTTATAGAATTGTATTTATATATTATACATATTTTATTTTTCTTGTAAATAGGAACTAAAACAACAAAAACAAAATTTACGAGTGCGAGTGCTGCGCGTGTGTTGCCCGTGTAAATGAGTGCGTGCGAGTGACATAAATTAGAACGCGTTAGTCATACCGTAACAATTATACTATTAGAATTGTAACAATGATTTTTGATTTTGATTAACATTTGTTTAAGTTATGTTCATTTTGGTATTGAATTTTGAGCTGCGTATTACTTTCTGTCAGATCCAATACTTTATCTAGTTGTAAATATATACATAGATAACAATTATTTAAGTGAATTTATATGAACGAGGCTCACAACAAATTGTTGTTCATTGTTGTTGTGTATTAACGTCGTACACAAACGTGAATTTATTAAGAATATTTTTCAACACTCATAATAGCCGCTTGCGCTAGGCAGCGTTACGTGTTTGCTATAAAGTTGGACACAGCGCAATAACAACATTCGTTGTCACGAACTCATTCATCAGTGTACTTAGATTATAAACTATACAACAAATTCAGATATGGGAAACCAATGAGACGATTGCCCACGGAATCAAATTTTGTTTGCGATCTCGTTATACAGATTGATGAGTTATATACATACGATGACTGTTTCGCCAAAAAATATATATAAAATTAAATCTTTTCGAATGGTGTGTCAAAATCTGTATACATACATTTAAGAGAAAATCTCATGTTTTCTTAGTAACACAACTCTATTGTCAAAGAAACTACATTAACATTGTTTTATATTTTGATGAAATTTGGTGATGAGATTGGCAAGTAAAATGAAACAACCTATTATAATTAAGTAACATGGCCCAAGTCAGAAAATCCAACAGAATACGATGTAGTAGTAACATAATATATATTAATTGTTAGGAAGACAGCTTAGGACTTAGCGCTGTAAAGAGCAATGTTGCTTACCGTAATACTTTCACAGGGAATGGGCACTTTCTGTTAGTTAAGCTATTGATGATCATTTATAAAAAATAAAAATTTAACTTAAAATTGACACCGCATACGTGACTAACAATTTATTATTTTATACTTAATTGTTACGACAGCCCACGATATCTGAGCGCGTTCAATATGAATTTACATGTGTAATAATTGGTGAATCATTAAAATTCAAACTGAGTGAATTTTGTTGTTGTTTCGTGTTCGTTTAAAGTTCTGCAATATTATTAAGAAGCTCTTCGTTCCTGCCTGCTGTGCAGTCTTAATTTAATTTTATTATCACAGATGTTTTAAAATAGTGTTCTGGCAAAAAAATCGTAAATGGGTCAAGTGCGTATGTTTTTTATTTAAAAGAGCGCGGCAGTCAATCTTCTCAACCGTTATGCAACCCAAAATACACAAACCGATTAATCATAACCACCAAAGTTGTTAAAGCGATTAGACTTACGTTCGGCAATTTTTCATTTGTTTTTGATGTTTTAAGTATTTTAAAATAACGTAGTGCAGTGTAGAAATGACCAGTGATTATAAAAATGAAAAAATCTCGTGCAGAGAAAATTATAGAACAGATCAACTCCACAAACGCTAAGCGCATAGCTTTCATCTTGGTCATAGGATTCGCCTGTTATCATGAGTTGTTGCATCTCAACTATGGTTTGACCTTTATTTTTTATCTTTACACTCCTAAATTATGCATGTTACAGGAAGTAATTCCTGCACTTGGTTGCTTTCTGATGGAAGGTACAAAGGTGATCAAGAGTGGCAACCCTATGGTTGCATGCTTCATCATTATTCAAAAATGTAATTTTCTTTCTTTATATTTGGTACATCCAGCCAGATAACTTTGCTAATACATCATTTTTTAGTGACACAAGAAGATGTTTCCGTTACTTAGCATTTTATGGCAAAGAATCTCATTTTGTGTTTATTGGAGACTCCAGAATAAGAGATTTATATGCTAGTTTTGTAAAACACTTGCATCAGGATGAAGATGCAACAGTCACTCCTATTGATGCCAAGTCAGATCTTGTCCACACTGAAAACAAGCTTAAAATTCGTGTGGAATACATACACAGCCAAAATGTGTCAAGTGAAATGGTAGATCACTTTGTAAAGTGGTCTCAGGATGGAGCTCCACCTTCAGTTATAGTTGCAGGTTGTGGACTGTGGTCTATAAAGGGTTCAAATGCATCTCAAAATGCAATACAAGACTACAGTTTGAATCTCACTAAGTTAATGCTTCCTATTGATAATTTGCATGAGAAAAAGACAAGAGTGCTCTGGGCTCTGCAAGAACCAGTAAACTCTGAAAAGTTGAGTTCTGATTTTCAGATGGTGACAAATGAACAAATTGATCTGTACAATAAGGCTGCCATTGAGGTTTTGTCATCAACAAAAACAGAATTATGGTGGACAGCCCGGTTAGTGGCACAAGGAATGGTCTCTGAAAGTCCAGATGGCATGCACTTGGCACCTAAACCTTTACAGCATAACACCCAAATATTACTGAATATGTATTGCAATGATTACATGAACTTCAATGATGGATCATGTTGCAGCTCCGCGGAAACATACACAACATTACAAGTACTTACATTCGTTATCATGGGATTATGGTAAGTTATTTTTTTTCGACAACATTTAAGGGAAAATAGAAACTGAAACGGTTTTATATTATGTTACAGTACAGCGGTGTACATTTTAATTTTTCTATACCGCTTAGTTCTAAAATGGCGTGGAAATCCAATAAGAGAATATTCCCTCCTGACTGATGCAGAACCGTCGCCTGAACACACGACGTTTATTTCTGCACCGGGCGACATGCACACCCTCTTTAGATCACTGAGCATTATGTCGGTGATTATGGCCTATTTCTTCATCTGTGACCGAACAAATTTTTTCATGAAGGAAAACAAATACTACTCAGAGTTTAGCTTTTGGCTACCCATCGGTTACGTCTTTACACTGGGCCTATTTTTCACCGAAGATAGTAAATTTACCAAAGTACTGCATCGTGATCAGATCGACGAGTGGAAGGGATGGATGCAACTCGTGATACTTGTCTACCAAGTAACCGGCGCAAGTCAAATCCTCCTTATCAACATGCATATAAAAGTGTTGATTTCTGCGTATCTTTTCTTACTCGGTTATCAACACTTTGTTTACGTTTTTCAACGGGGAGATATCACCTTAGTCAGCTTATTTAAAAATCTCTTTCAGTTAAACTTCATGACTATCACGTTGTGCTTGTGCATGAACCGACCGTACCAGTTCTACTATTTCGTGCCGTTGTTGTCGTTTTGGTATCTTATGTGCTACACGATGTTGGTCCTACCGCCGTTGATCACCGCGCAAAACTCTGAAAGTAATATTGCACATTATTTTTATTTAGTTATTAAATTTATCGGGATGTTCAGCGTTATAACGATTTTATTTATATCGGAAGTGTTCTTCGAGAAAGTGTTCGTGACGCGGCCGTGGAAAGCACTTTTTGTGACAATTGACGATGATATTCACGAATGGTGGTCGCGATGGAAGCTGGATAGATATTCATCGTTATACGGTATGTTATTCGGTGCCATTCTGTTGATATCTCAACGTTATAGCCTGTTTGACGACAACAATCATAGCAACTTGTTTTCGCGTGGCATTGCGTTAAGTGCAACACTCGCGAGTATTGTAGGCTTGGGCGCGTACGTTACTTTTACGTTCTTATGCCGTAACGAGTTGGATTGCAGCGAAATTCATTCGTATATTGTTTGCCTGCCGATATTGGCGTACATCGTATTGCGAAACATATCGGGTGTCCTACGGACGCGCTATTCTAGTTTGTTCGCGTGGTTCGGTGATATTTCGCTGGAGCTCTTTATCAGTCAATATCATATTTGGCTGGCTGCCGACACGCACGGGGTGTTGGTGCTTATTCCGGGATATCCCATGTTAAATATTATAATTACCTCTTTTATTTTCGTGTGTGCCTCGCACGAAGTTAATCGAATTACCAAAGTTCTCTTGCCCTATGCAATTCCGGCCGATTTTAAGGCGGCACTCAGAAATTTCGTCTTTTTCCTCGGCATCCTTGTACCAATTGGGATTAAGGATGGAATGTTTTGATAAATGTGTGATACCATCAATGACTCATAAGTTTGTTTATTTACTTTGTAGCAAAATTACAATAGTATTGTCAATATCAAAGTGGCATTTGTACTAAACCTCCCACAAGACATACACTATTACTCTGCTACATTACATTTTCTAATGATTGCCTTTATATAAAGAATCAACAATGTAAATTCCCTGAATTGAAAAGATTCAAAATCATTTTATCACAGCAGTATTTTATGCATATATAAATTAATCCGTATCTAGTGGCAATTTATTTTTTACATATGAAGTGTAAATGTCATAAAATAGTGATATGGTACTATCATATAAAACTCTAAAGCGATGCGGCATTACATAAAAATTTATAAACTGAGCGGGTGGCCAAATCACCCATTCAGCTGCATATAATCTCCAGGCTTTCTGTTTGATTTCAATCACAACAGTATGCATATCACTCTGCTCCAATATTGCTAAGGTCATGAAGAAACTGGCAATTGATATGGGTGAACAAATAAATTGATCCAGCATCACTTTCTTGAGAACAACTTGAATTGTATTTCCAGGTACTTTTCTCTCTAATATATTATACCACCAATGTGTGATAAGACCAGCAGACACTCCAGTGGCTGCCATGTTTCTTGTGCGAATTGGGTCCCATTTGTGAATATGGTCAATAAATATCTCGTATCGTTGTTCAATTATATCACCCAGGGCTGACAGACCGGTCGATAAAGCTATATTGGTAACTAACAAATACTTTGGACTAAATGCTTTCACCAGTATAGTTCGCATGTTGCTTGACACCGAATATGAACACTTTCCGGTTTTAATAGAAGTTACTCTAAAAGTACATATTTCAAACGCTCCATGATGAGTAAGGTTAGCCGCGAGCGTGGTGTTGCGTTGAAGCACGTGCCAGCGAGGCGTACACCACACTGGAGATGTGGGGCAAATTTAGAGATGGTAAAGTGGGAAGTACTCATATTTCGATATTATCTGATGTAAAGGCAACTGACATGTAACCAATATCATCTTAGACAATGTCTATCAATCAGAAAATTAAAATGAAGTTTCGTAAAATCGACATTATCGTATAAACAATTGACAGAGAGAGAAAAAGATTTCGAATTGCCTAGAGCGTCCAGGTTTTACTTTATTACTTATTAAGAACTTACATGCAATAAGTTGCAGTAAAAATAAAATGCAATGTTACTCAATGAAGTAGGTCACTTGCGCCAAATATATGACACGTGTTGAATGTTATTCTTCCCCTATTGTCACGTGTCCGCGTCTTTAGAACTTTAAAACCCAAAATCAATAACTTCACGGTAGCGCATCTTCAGTGATTGAGTCTCCGATTTTATTCCATATTGTAGAAGTCGTTTCTTGACAGTATTGTCTCCCTTAAAAATAAAGTAAAATAAAATGGAAGTATTTCATCAAGAAATCCAAGATTTACTGAATCATTGTCAAAAGACCGACATAAATTTTGATGTGATTTATAAAAACGCGCTCCTTTCATTAAATTCTCAAGATAATTTGAAGATTAAACTTCCTTCATGGAAACCACAAATAACTATGGAACAAGTAAAAATATTCTTCAAATCGTGGAGATTTTTAATTTTATTTACTGTCTTGACGATTCTTCTTTTCACTTACCTGCAACTGGAGCTAATTAACATCCATATTTCTGCGATTGGAAGAATAATTATGGTTCAGGTTTTACCTTTTTATGATTGGCGCCCATTAAAGAATGAACGGTGTCTACTCAAAAAGAGCGCAATCTATTCATCGGGCATGAATGGCAAAACCACAAACATTGAAAGCGATTGTAACTATTGTGATGGTATCAATTCTGTCCCCAAATTGAAATATCTGACTGGGGATTGGAACAATGATGATTTAACTCAAGAAGAACTGGTTTCCAACTTAGCTCAAAAGATAAAAAGTTACTACGACATTGATGCGCCTATTGTTATTGCCAATAAATCTGACGCCAGTTTTAACATTGAGAATTTAAAACAAGACTTAGAATATATTGACTATATTCCATGTAATGTCGAAAGCAACATCTACATAAGAAAGTCGTCGACAGTCGAAGATATTTTGATAAAACTGGACAAAGCGCCATTTTTCTTTGCGCAATGGCGGAATTGCAATTTGCATGCTATGAAATTGTTTCGGCGCTTCTTTCCTCGACCAGAATATCTGCATGTTAATTTTGCACCGATTCAGCAGTCCTGGTTCATTGTAAGCAAGAACTACTACAGCGAGAATCAAAATTACAAACAGTTAAAATTGACTGATAGATTAGCACTTGTTGCTATTATAGAAGGTCATTTTAAAGTCAGACTAATACCACTTCGATATTGTTTTATTGGAAAAATGTGTAATGACGTTATTATTGATATGTTTGCCGGGGATGCTTTAGTTTTGAGTGATCAATGGGAAATTGAATATTTGTTCATGAGCACAAATGATGACGTAAAACAAGATTTCGAGGTAGATCTAAATATGGCCATAGTATTGGAGACTCATTAATACTCGTAGTAGTAGTGAAAAATATGAGTACAAAATAAATGTTGGATGTTTTTTCTCTTCTTTAATGTTGTGGATGTAACGAAAGTACGTAATAAAATGTCGTTGAATCATGAAATGAGACTAAACCCACGACGGGTGAGATTTCAAGACACATTAAAAATATTACTCCCTTTATATTAAACTATTTTATACAATACAATACCATACAATACATTAATGCAGGAACAAAAAAATATTAAAAATTGACAACAGTAATTATTTTGTCACAGAGTAAGTTATGATATGCTAGTTATTTAGATTGAATAGTAATCTAATAGCACATGCATATATAGATTTTGGAATATTTTCAGACTCAGAGTGTTTAAATTTTTCCAACATATTTATCATGTTCCTTTACTGTGGCTATCAGACCATCTGTATTCACAGGATGGCCATCATTAAAATAGCTGATGACAGCATTGTTTTTTGTGGTCATTCTGCCTCCAATTGCATTCAAAATGGCGTTCCCAGCACAAATATCCCACTTTTTGATAACTGTGTTGTGTACATATGCATCAGCATTACCAGCAACAACTTCAAGTACTTTGTATCCAGCACCAGCTGCAGTGATAACTTTGACATCTTTAAAATTCTTCTTTAGGACCTCCTCAATTGTCCCCCTATGAGAAATTGACACCACAATTTTAGTTTGGGTTCCATCACTTGAACCAACTTTTAAATTTCTTTCTTCTTTTCCAACCCAGGCATAGTAAGTTTTGTTTTCGAAAGGTTTGTGTATAACTCCAATAATGGGCTCTCCCTTTACAGCAACACAAACCATTGTTGTAACATATTGATAAAGCTTTTCTAAAATCTTAACATTTAAGTATCAAGTGTAATAAGTGAAAATTCAGCTATTTACTACCTGTGAATTCTTTTGTGGCATCTAATGGATCAATCCAGATTGTAATATCTTCCAGTTTTATTACATTTGGTTTGATACTGTCCATTACATCAATCTTCACATTGTTTGGTTTAGAGTAATCATATACTATGCTGTTGTTACACATGACTTTATTTTCTTCAGAAACAATTGAAATATCAGGATATTGATGTTTGAGAGTTGCTTCCATAGCACAGTGTGAATTATAATCTGCTGTAGTTACTGGATCATTAATGCCTTCTCCAGTTTTACCTTTTGAGTCAATTTTAAGATTGTCCTTTGTTTTAAGAACCTCGTTTCCTCCATTCTGAGCCGCTTTGATTGCAACAATCAGTAAATTGCTTAGATCAATTGAATCTTTAAATTCGTCTTTGATTGCTGATGAAGTATCAGCACTTTTGGAGAAGAAATAAAACAGGAATAGTGCGACCACAATGAAAACCAAAAGAAGCCCCGGTTTATTAATATGTATGGCTCCCCCTAAATTCATAGTGAATGATTTTATCTTTCGATTTTATACAAAAAATCACATTTTAAATGGAATGGTTTGTTTATTTCTTCGATGGATGTATAAGTGACGGGAAGTGTGGTGTGACAGAACACCAGCTGATGACGCGATTGAAATTTCAAACCCATTTCAAACCTATGCTTCAAATCGTCACTTTCAAAAATTTAGACAATAGAATTTATTTATTTATTTTTATTATTGGAAAAGCATATTCTGTGATTTTACATTTATTATACAAGCAGCGATCATTCTTTATGTTCTCCTCTAACTTCTCTCCATTTCTCAGCCTTAATCTGCTTAAGTATTGCTGCCACTGATTCAGCAGTTCCTTAATTTCCAAAAGATTATATATTCTAGTAAAATTTCAAATGTCTAAGACTATATTATTATTACCTGTACACCAATATTCGTATAAATCGGGTCTGTATCCCACGGGACCTTCTTCCGCGTTTCTGCAATGTTTCTTAATCCAATCTGCTTCAACCTCAGTAGGTATTCTAAGCAATTTCGAAGTTCGTTCACAAAATATGGTTACTATTAATTTATTATTTAGCAATTTAATTTTTACTGACCTTTTAATTTGGTTCGTTTCGTTTGCACTGACTATGCCTGATAATTTCGGTTTGTAAAATCCCTCACCAACATCAAAGCAACCCGGCGGAATCGGTCGCGGCGGCATTTTATTTGTGACTCTTTCTTGCCCCGGTGGTTTAAATACACCTGCCCGAACAGTTGAGATGTAAGCGCGTTTAGGAAACAAGCAATATTCCCAGGGATCGTGATATTCTAAACCATCTTTGAAGACGTAGCTCCACTTGGTCATTTTTCCGTGCGACCACTCGCTCTTCAAAGTTTGCCCCATCGGGTACCTAAGAATGCCCTTCCCGTGAAATTGCGAATCCTCAAAATCTCCCTCATACGTAACACCTTGAAACATCCAGTTTAATGTGAGTCTAAAACGTATTAATATGAAAGCTCACCGTGAGGAAATACATATCGTCCTTGTCCCTCCCAAGTGTGGAGAAACATCCATTCGCCTTCGTAGCTGCATCCTGGCGGGTAGTGTTTTATCGGTTTAGAACGTTTTACAATTAGTCCACCGGCCACTACTTCGGCCGGGAAGAAATTATCAATGTTTTTCGTGTTACGAATTAACTGCCGATTGTAACTTTGGTTCTCTCCGTTTTGTTTGTACTTGTTTATATTCGTGAGATTGGATTTTGCCGAAGCCCTAATTTCATGCATACCTTGTAAAGTGTTAAAAACAGATGTATATGTAATTGTATAGAATTTATAATGATCACAATTTAGATACTGCGATCAACATTGACGGTTAGTCGGAGTTTATTTTAATTAACTGTCAATGACTCAAAAAAAACATTTGAAATAATTTACCATAAAAAACATAATACATCTAAATAGAATTAAAAAATTATTTAATGGCAATACTTGATTTACATATAATATAACAAAATATAAAGTAGACAAAAATAATAATCATAATAATTATACATATATATCCCTAATGTTCTCCAGGCCTCTTCGTGTACGTTTTTTTCGCGTGATCTATTCGCATTTCAGCATCCGCTAAAGGATCAACCTTTAAGGAATCTACGCCCAATTGCTTTTTGGCTTGTAACCCGCCATTTATGGCATTTTGTTCATGCAATAAGTCGGTGTTCGAATATAATGGACATTTTTGGAATTCTTTTCCTCCCAACCCGTTGAAATGATTATACTCAACTTTTGACTGGTTACATATGTAACACATAGTCGCTCCACACTGGCAGGTAATTTTGTTGCAACCATCAGACTTGATGAATTTTAGTTGACACCTCCAACATTTTCTCATCAATGCTTCGGTCATTTGATTTTCAACGAATACACGCTGCTTGACATCGTGATCTTTTTCCACCTCATCACAACGCAAAGGAATGTGAGATGGTTCCTTACACAATCTGCACGTCTCTTTCATGCACTCTGGATTCAAACATTTGAACACTTTATCAGCCGCGGATGGTATAGAGGCAAAATCACAGAAAGGGCAGATTTCTAAATCTTCAATACCGGCTGCTTTCACCTCTTCCAACTGCTTACGCTTTGCAATTTTACAAAATATTTTTGGTGTCAGGCAAGCCTGTAATATCTCCAGTGTGAAATCTGCACCGCAGCGCAACAAACACGGAAACGCCAAATTATTTTCAGCAAAAAGTATTTCGGCGCTTTGCCTAATACATTGCTTGCAGAACAAACACCCATTAGTACAACAGAAGCTGTCCTCACGCATCACCTCCTCGTCGAAACAGCAACCGCATGTGTTTACTTCTTTGTTGTCTATAGCCTCTTGTTTTCTTTTTTCTGCATCAATTTTTAATTGTTCCTTTGTGCGTTCAATCAAACGTTTATGCGTAATATAGGCGAACTGCAAAAAAATAGATTTTTGAATAAGAAAATAAAAATAAAATATAAAATACGAACTAATTGAAGGAGTGGAATATTGTTATTTTGTGTTTCAATTCGCTTCCGCTTGGAATGGATTATTCCTTTTGAAGTTTTCATACAATTATCAAGTTTTTCAACCACTTCTAAGATTGTGGATGAATTTTCCATAACGGAAGAAATCATTTTCAAACCTAATTTGGAAAAGTGATTTCTCAGGAAGTAATGGACGGCGTATCTAGTTTGTACATCATCATCTAAAACTCCAGCCCGAAACGTTTTTCTATCAAAATACGTCTCTGGGTCTGGTATAAGTTTCAAAAAATCAACAGGATTGAAGTCCGTTGTATACTGCTTCACTTGTGCACTTATTTGCTTCTTTCTGACAACATCTTCCAATTTTGGATAGTTGCGGAACTCCAATGCTTCGCTTATGAACAACTTCAATTCCTCGCTATTCTGCATCATCGTTAATTCGTTCGACAAGTATTCCGGATCTGCATCGGGCAGAACATTCATCATTATTTCCAATTGCTCATCAAAATTAATTGAAACTTCCTTCTCTTTTTTTGGGTAGTCTTGTGTTAACAATTGGTCTGTTATGATATCAACATTTGCGGTACTGTATTCTTTTTCACGACACAACTTCTCCAAGAAATTAATTTGACAATCAGGGAAAATTTCCGACAGAGTGTTAATTAGTTTTTGAACAGATGCTTGGCTAATTTGATCTAGGACAATAACTGGTCCCAAGGCATTACTAAAAATTTCAAATTAAATTTAAATACAAATATTTCTTGTCTAATTTTTATAGTTTACCAATTTGACGAATGAGCTTGTGAATGCTTCGACGCTTTTGCTGGCGGACCGGCTGATTTTTCTGAATTAGAAGAACTCGGTCTTTTCTGTGAGATCCTAAAGAAAACCCTTATTTTCACCCAACCTTAATTGTATTGTAAACAGCTTACTTGGCCACTCCACCTGTTGTTTCTGGAAAATTGTTTTTAGTTTCTGGAACTGCTGGTCTTAAATCAATTGCACCATCCAGAAAATCATCCCTGAAAGATTAGGTTTATTCACATTTCAGTCTTACATTATTAGTTAGCACTTATACCAAGGAATATCATTAAGGTCAGAAATTCCTGAATTTGGAGATCCTACAGCTTGAGGTATATCAATGGTATCAATTCTATCAAACAAAAAATTTTTTTCAATATGTTTATCAATCTCATATATATTCTAAAACTAAGTACCTTTGCTTTAATATTGAAGTACTTGGTCCTGGTTGGTCATTCGCAACAGAAATTACTGGTATATTATTTGATTTTATATTAGTATAAGAAATGCCAGATGGACCAGCCTCTGGTGTTGTTTGATTATTCATATTGATTTGATCAGTATCTGAAATCCTTTCTGACACATATAAATTTGGATTATTTATATATGGCAATTGTGGCATTTCCTCATTGACTGGTTCTGGAAATGTGTCAAACAAATCCAACAAATTATTTTCAATTTCATCATCATGCTTCTCAACATTATTAGTTACAAGTGGAAGATTCATAGCATCCAACCTGAATGAAGGACAATGGCAACCACTTGCAATGGCTTTTAAAATAGCATACTGTGCATTGATGTGCAAGGGAATATTTCTAATTATTTGTTTTATTGCATCTGGCACATACTGGGGAAACATTATTGTCATTTCTTTAATCAATTGTTTTCTGTGGATTGATTCTTTCCAATGAACAAAATTTTCTACTTGATTATCAAAACATATCATTGAATATACACCCAAGTCACACTTCCTTTGATCATTAAGGGGTAGGCCTTTATTAAGTTGCCAACATAATGGATGCATTGTTTCCATCTCTGAAATAACATTAAATTCTTAAAACATTTTAGTTTTAGTACTAAAATCTAAATTTACCTTTACTTTTCAATACGCCCGATTTATGCGGCCACTTTACTTAAATAAAATTTTCACTGATTTCAATTGACATCAGTAATTTTAACCTTACTTTGGGATGGGATGGTTAGTAAGTGCAAACAACAAACGATTTTTTTAATTCTCATTTATTTCTTTTCATATGTAAAACAAAAAATAAAATACACAAACCAAATCAATTAAACAAATGAACATATTCACAGTTTGGACAACACAATCTAATATTCTAACTTTAAAATATTATAAACTTGATATATCTCTTCAATATCTAGTAAATGATCAATATATAAATCTACTAATCTCTGTAATATATTATTGTCATTATTTATATTATCACAGCCTAATATCAAATAACATTGTGATGCAATCCTTCTGGCACAATGACTGATCCCATCTAGCAAATGGCACATTAAGTAACCAGCCACAAGGTAATCATGTTTAATATAACAATTAAACCTATAAACAATCAAAATAGTAGGAACTTGCATCCATGATTGAATCTCACTTAAATGTTTTAATAAATCAAAACAATCCTTTAGGTAACTGAAAAAAGGACATACATTAGTTATGATAGGAGTTTGTATAAGAGTAAAAACACTTACAAAAACCTTATAAGTTTTAAAATTTGTTGATCAGGAAATCCTAGATCTCTTGGTAAAGAGGTAAATACCTTTGGAGCAAAAAACCAAACCTGCTTACCTGTTTTAGCACAATCAATTGCCAACTAGAAAAATAAAATTTCAGTTTTAAATCAAGGAAATATTTTTTATTGAATGAATATACCTTTAAGAGATGAAAATCAATTTGGTCACCATTAATATTTATTAATATTTTTGTAGTATCCATTGTGAACCAGTATAATAAATATTTGTAAGCAACATTATGTTTCAGCTGCTTCAGCACAATTTGGTTTGCATAACTTCAGTTTGATACATCATTTTAATAAATCGTCGAAATTTTGTAGAAAGTATTTTCATGTATTTCGTTTTAAAGTAAGAAACAAAAATTTAAACTTTGATTTCCTGATAGGGCTGATAATTGCCATAGTTATCAAGGTTACCATTCACTTGTGGGGTTCGGGGTTAGTTTATTTGTGGTTTATAAGTTCTACAGTGCTAAAGTAGATGGCACTCTTCGCTGAAGTGTCATTTACTTTGACACATATTCCGATTAAAGCTGTATGCGTGCGTGTAGTTGTATGATTGTGTTGTCAACTGACAGGAAAGCGAGGAAATCTTCGATTTATCGAAAGTGTTTCGTGTAAATAATAAACATGAAGTAAGGATTAATTTTGAGCTTAATTGGTTCCCAAGTGCGAAGTGGCTAACACCGAGGCCAATAAATATTAAGGATACGCTGGCTATTGGCAAAACACGTCACTTCATAATCCCCAATAATGGTGTTTCTGCAACATATGAGGGGCTTTTAAACCACATAACATCGTTTCTTTCGTTGTACAATGCACGCAAACACAAAAACAAAAGAGATGTTTATAATAAGGGCTTTAGAAAAAATCTTAAATGATAAAGAAATCAAAAGATCCAATCATTCACAGCTGAGAAAAGCCTGTGAGACTGCACTAGGTAAGTCCTATTTAATTTCACAATTTACAGTCTGATCATAAATGCAATTGTTCATAAAGATGAAATCAAGAAAGAGCTGGCAAATGGGAAAGAGGATGAAACACCAGTGTCACATGCATTGCCAATTCCAAAGAGTGGTGATGCAAATGTGCTCACTACAGAAAAATATTTCCTTCCTTTTGAATTGGCATGTCAGAGTAGATCAACAAGAATTGTTGTGACTGCATTAGATTGCCTTCAGAAGTTGATTGCATATGGCCATCTGACTGCTAATGTCCCTGATTCTACAACACCAGGAAAGCTTCTTATTGATAGAATTGTTGAGACAGTCTGTGCCTGCTTCTCTGGCCCCCAAACTGATGAAGGTAAATCATATGACATTTATTTTATCTTTATCTTAAATATCATTTATAAAGCTCATATAAATTTAGTTATTGATTATTTCATAAAACAAAAATTATATTTCAGGTATACAACTTCAGATTATCAAAGCATTGTTAACTGTAGTTACTAGCCAACATGTGGAGGTACATGAGGGTACAGTGTTAACGGCCGTGCGAACATGTTACAACATATTTTTAGCCAGCAAGAATTTAATCAATCAGACCACGGCGCGTGCGACGCTCACGCAAATGTTGAATGTAATTTTTATGCGAATGGAGAATCAGGCGTTCGATAATGAAGTGCAATTAGAAAATCAATTAAACAAATCACTGAGCGGAAACAGTAACAAGGAAAAAGACGAGAAAGATGGTGAAATCCGCGATGATAAGGACGCCGAGAAGTGTGACGAATTAAGCAGTTTTGATATTGCTCAGCAAATTGTGAATTCCGTTGTTGAAAGTGCAATTTTGCATGTTGAATCAAGTGATAAGCAAGAAATTGATAAGGAAACAAATGAAGAAAATGCTATTCCAATACATAGGTTGGTATTTTTTGATCTTCTTGCTTTCTAATGCCTCTAAAATTAAAATATTCTTTTACAGAGTACCTTCTCAGGAAAGTGTAGATACCCACAGTGAAACGGATTCGGCAATGACCGCAAAGTTTAGTCATATTCTTCAAAAGGACGCTTTTTTGGTATTTCGAGCTTTGTGCAAATTATCAATGAAGCCATTGCCTGATGGAACTCCAGATCCAAAGTCTCACGAGCTACGTTCGAAGATTTTGTCACTGCAACTACTTCTTTCGATTTTGCAAAATGCCGGTCCTGTTTTTCGCTCAAACGAAATGTTTATCACGGCAATTAAGCAATATTTATGCGTGGCACTTTCTAAAAACGGTGTTAGTTCCATACCAGAAGTATTTGAACTATCACTGTCCATTTTTCTTGCATTATTATCAAATTTTAAGATGCATTTGAAGATGCAAATTGAAGTGTTCTTTAAAGAAATTTTTCTTAACATTCTGGAAACGTCGAGCTCGTCGTTCGAACATAAATGGATGGTGATTCAAGCTTTAACGCGTATCTGCAGCGATGCTCAAAGCATAGTTGATATTTACGTGAATTATGATTGCGATTTGTCTTGCGCCAATTTATTCGAACGCTTGGTCAACGATTTAAGCAAAATTGCACAGGGTCGGCATGCGTTGGAACTCGGCGCATCACCTAATCAGGAAAAATCTATGAGAATTCGTGGTTTAGAGTGTTTGGTTTCCATTTTGAAGTGCATGGTTGAATGGAGCAAAGATCTTTACGTGAATCCGAATATGCAGTCTACTGTAGGCGAACAAATTATTGTTCCAAAAGATAATGATAATGGCAGTTTAAAATCGCATGGTGGCTCCAGTACTAGTTTACATTCCAGTGGCGGATCAAGTGGGGGTAATAAGGAAGTTTTGGACTCACCAGAACAACTTGAGGTGCTCAAGCATCAAAAAGAGGTAAATTCTATATAATAAATGATTCTAATGACCATGTTTCGAAAATGATTTGTGTATGAGAGCTAAAAACTTGTATTTTGTTATTGCAGGTGTGGGAAACAGGGATTGATCTATTTAATCGCAAACCAAAACGTGGTATACAATTTTTACAAGAACAAAATTTACTTGGCGCATCACATATTGATGTCGCAAAGTTTTTCCAATCTGATGATCGACTGGATAAGACATTCATCGGTGATTTTCTAGGCGAAAATGATGATTTTTGCAAAGAGGTCATGTACGCATACGTTGATTGCATGAACTTTGCGAATATGGATATCGTTGCAGCATTACGTTACTTTTTAGAAGGGTTTAGATTGCCGGGTGAGGCACAAAAAATTGATAGGTATGATTTATTATGAAATTTTGGAGATAAATACTTCATTAACATGTGTGTAATTTTAGATTAATGGAAAAATTTGCAAGTCGTTATTGCGAATGCAATCCGAGCAACGGTTTATTTGCTAGTGCAGATGTAGCGTACGTGCTCGGTTTTTCAATCATAATGCTAACCACAGATTTGCATTCGCCCCAAGTGAAAAACAAAATGACAAAAGAGCAGTACATCAAACTCAATCGTGGAAATACGGACAGCAAAGACGTGCCCGAGGAATATCTTTCGCAAATTTACGACGAAATTGCAGGGCATGAGATTAAAATGAAGAACACGGTCAGCAAACCCGGAAAGCAACCTATCAACAGCGAGAAGCGACGCAAAATCCTGTTCAACATGGAAATGGAAATGATTTCTTCCGCAGCAAAGAATCTAATGGAGTCCGTCTCGCATGCTCAAGCGCCTTTTACGACTGCAAAACATTTGGAGCACGTCCGACCGATGTTCAAAATGGCATGGACGCCTTTTTTGGCCGCATTCAGCGTCGGCCTGCAGGATTGCGATGACCCGGAAGTTGCGACGCTATGTTTGGACGGCATCCGATGCGCTATTCGAATTGCATGCATCTTTCACATGACTCTAGAACGTGACGCGTATGTGCAAGCTCTGGCGAGGTTTACGTTATTAACTGCAAACTCGCCCATCATGGATATGAAAGCTAAAAATATCGATACCATCAAAACGCTAATCATGGTTGCCCACACCGATGGAAATTATCTTGGAAGTAGTTGGCTGGATATATTAAAATGCATCTCGCAATTAGAACTTGCGCAACTAATAGGAACTGGAGTTCGACCTCAATTCTTAGCGGGACCGGGTCATAAACCGCCAGATCCTACAACAAAGGAACACATTGGGCAAACCAGCTCGCAAAGCGTAGTGGTTGCGGTTGATAGAATTTTTACAGGGTCTACGAGATTGGATGGCGAAGCCATTGTGGATTTTGTGAAAGCACTTTGTCAGGTGTCCTTAGATGAGTTGGCTTATACAAGTCATCCAAGAATGTTTTCTCTGCAAAAAATCGTCGAAATTTCATACTACAATATGGGCAGAATTAGGTTGCAGTGGTCAAAGATTTGGCAAGTGCTGGGCGAGCACTTTAATACAGTCGGCTGCAACAATAATGAAGACATTTGCTTCTTTGCTGTAGACAGTTTACGGCAACTTTCGATGAAGTTTATTGAGAAAGGAGAATTTGCGAATTTTAACTTCCAGAAAGATTTTCTACGGCCATTCGAAATCATTATGAAAAAGAACCGATCGCCTACTATTCGCGACATGGTAGTGCGATGCATTGCGCAAATGGTAAATTCTCAGGCTAACAATATTCGTTCGGGTTGGAAAAATATCTTCTCAGTATTTCATTTGGGCGCGTCCGATCAAGAAGAAGCGATTGTCGATCTTGCGTTCCAGACGACAGGCAAAATCATAACGGAAATTTATGAGAGGCAGTTTCCGGTTATGATTGACTCGTTCCAGGATGCCGTTAAATGTTTATCAGAGTTCGCTTGTAATGCACGATTTCCCGATACTAGTATGGAAGCAATTCGATTGGTGCGCACTTGTGCACTAAATGTGTACGCATCTCCTCACTTGTTTGCGGATCATGGCGGGATGGAAAACGACATGGCTGTTGTTGAAGCAGACAGGGTTTGGGTACGCGGATGGTTTCCACTGCTCTTCTCGTTGTCGTGTGTGGTAAACCGCTGCAAACTAGACGTGAGAACTCGTGCGCTGACCGTACTTTTTGAAATCGTCAAGACTTATGGCGATTCATTCCAGTCACATTGGTGGCGCGATTTATTCAAAGTGCTGTTTAGAATATTTGATAATATGAAGTTGCCGGAACAGCATACGGAGAAAGCTGAATGGATGACGACAACTTGCAATCATGCTTTGTACGCAATTGTCGATGTATTCACTCAATACTTTGATATGCTCGGACCCTTGCTTCTGGAGGAGTTGTATCTTCAATTACATTGGTGCGTACAACAGGATAATGAACAGTTAGCAAAGTCGGGGACGAATTGTTTAGAGAATCTGGTAAATTCCAACGGCCAGAAATTTTCCGAAGACACCTGGGAGAAGACTTGTCAGTGCATGTTTGACATTTTCCACTCGACAATTCCGAATGCCTTATTAACGTGGAAACCTGAGTCGATGCAAACTACGGCTATAATTGAAAATGGCGATATCGCATCGCGAGGAATCCTCAAACGATCATCAATGTCGGTAGATAATCGCAATCCGGAAAATGCGCTTTTTAACAGTTTGATGATCAAAACCGCTGTGCAATTGGAGCTAATCCAAACTATTGATAATATTGTTTTCTATCCGGCTACTTCTCGGAAGGAAGATGCGGAGACATTGGCTTTAGCCGCCGCTGACATGACTGGAAATGGAGGATTAACGGAATGTCAGCGCGAAGAACAAGGGATGTACAGAGTTTTAAGTTCACCTCACCTGTTGAAACTTGCAGACTGCCTACTACAATCACACAGGTACATTTTTGTCCTTTATTGGAAATAGTAAATTAACAGTTTATTTGTGTTTGTTTTAAGGTTTGCAAAATCTTTCAACACAGATCACGAGCAGAGGAATCTTCTATGGAAAGCTGGTTATAAAGGCTCAACAAAACCAAACCTGCTGAAGCAGGAAACGCAAAGCTTAGCTTGCCTGTTGCGAATCTTATTTAAGATGTACTGTGACGAGGGAAGACGTGATCATTGGCATGTCACGCAAATTAAGTTGGTAGCAGTATGTCAGGAAGCTTTGGAATACTTCCTAAAACTCCAGAGCGAAACACATAGGGACGCATGGACATCATTGCTGCTGCTAATTTTAACTAGGCTACTGAAAATGCCGGATGATAGAGTAAGTTAATTGATATGTGCAAATTCCCTACAGATAATGTTCACATTTTGGGTTGTATTTACAGTTTGCCATCCACGTATCTAGTTACTACACGCTACTATGCGAAATAGTGTGTTTCGACCTCAAAGCTGAGCTGCGATCGATTCTTCGACGGGTATTTTTAAGGATCGGCCCAGTCTTTAAGATTACTGCTGGCGCAACGCCCGTTGCAACTTAGTCATCCCGTCCAAACCACTAAAAGTGTCAAAAAAGTATGAATGAATCCGAGGGAAAAAACTAATTATGGTTAACGTTTTACATAAAACCCATACTAACAACATTTTATTAAATTATTTAAATAGAATTTAAAATCGTTAAATAGTTCTGATGTAACATATAAGTGAGAATTCTAAGTGACGTGGTAGACTACTCTTATTGCTACAAATAATTAGAATGTATTAATTACGAATAGTGAAATCAAGCGATTTTAATTTGTTGATTTAACATGGTCAACATATCGGTATAGTTGATATTGTTACTAACAATTACTAATCATTTCTAGTAAATCAAAACATTGTGCATAAGTCGTCTATTTCATGAAATGGTTTTGGAGCAGTTGTTGTGGGTTTATTCGTGAATAGTGTCGGGTCATAATTGACAGAAAGTTTGTAATTGTATGGAATAAACGAGCGCTAATGTTAAACATTTCATTTGAAGCACATTATTATATTGCATTTTAGTTAGCGCGTGCCTTTTATAAGTACACAAGAGGACAATGAAGTACTAAGTTCCTCTGAACTTTATTTTCACCATACGTATAGAAAAATCTAAGTACATATATAAATGTAATCAAACAGATTGATTTAATCGGGTGTACAAAGGTTGAAGAATTTATTTGTGAAGCTTTAGTCGGCACAGCCTAGTTTTAATCATATACCAATTTGTTGTGTTATGCCATACACACTACTTATAAAGACTTTATTATTATGCGAAATTATTCTGTAGCTACAGAAATTAAATATATTTATCTTGAATAATGATGTCCTTTAATTGTAAAGTCGTACAGAACGGTAAAGTATAGTTATAATATAAACTTTAAAAAAAATTAACTGTGAAGGAGTAAAAAATAACATAAAATATTTCTTTAATATTTCGCATGCTGCCGTTACCGATTTTTAACATTTGTATCCTATTTTCGGGGTGTTGTTTATTGCTGTATAAACAATTATTAATTATTTCTTAGGTAGTTAGCGTAGAACATTATTGTATTAGTTTTTAACACGTTGACGCCGGCGTGACCCACCGGTGGGTCACGCGTGCGGTGCTGGCACAGCCGTCCGACTTGCGAATTTTATTTTTCAAGGTTATATACAGGATGTTACGGTAGTGTTTTATGTATGCAGGGTCGTCTTTATTGTTATGTGCAAGTCTGCAGGGTAGTATTAAGTACGTGCCGTACACTTAATACGTTGACGCCGGCGTGACCTAATATAAAAAAAAAATGGAAACAAATACGACGAAACAAATAATTCAATGAACTGAATGTTAGTGTAAGTTGCAAATTCAAAGCACCAAAGCACCAGCCAAAACAATCGTTTCGTGCCGAAGCAAAGCATAAACCACCAGCTGCATCAACTCGAGCGAGCTGATAACGCTCAAACGCCGCCCGATGCGGCGGTCAGCCAAAATCCGCGCCGGCGTCAACATGTTAACCGGCCCCTTCTACAAATTCCACGAAATTTCACAAATTTCACAAATCATGCGACTTGCCCTGTATTCTATATAGTTTCGTTCAGTCGTGTGCGCGCGGAGAAGCACGATCATGCTCCGAACTTTGAACGTGCGCCTGCGCATTCCGCAAGTCTGCGAAATGTGCTTGGGCCGCCGGGCAAAAAAGCGCCGGCGTCAACGTGTTAATTACGATCTTGTGTCTTTTGAATCGGTTGCGAGTTAGAGAAGTATTCAATACATGCTACAAATATGATAGAGAATCTTCCAATCTTCCGTAATCAACAATTTTCTGGTTGCTATCTCTTTTTGTTTAGTAGATATTCGCTGTCGAAAATCGTCGATAAAAGCTATCAATTAATAATATAATAATATCTTAATTAGATTCATTTATTTTTGAATTGAAGTTTTGAGTTATGCGTAAAAATTCTATTTGTTTAGATAGGGTGGTGCATGCGCACTCTCGTGTACGTGTGATACACGGACACGGCCACTTAAGTGCGTGACCACTCACTGACACATAGACAATCGCTCACTGCCTCATATGCACGTCACACTTTTTGAAACGCTTTGTATTTTCTGGAGGTACAATAAAGAATTCTCAGGTAGCGCAACGATGCATGTTTTAACTAAAAATATTCCTGCGAGTGAAAGTCGACGTGCACAGTTGTGATGCCGGCACGCAGCTCTTACTGCGTGCGGCAGATAAGAATACTCCGTCAAGTATACGTGTTTCTCGTTGTAAATTCGGTATATCGCGTTATATTTTATTGAATTTATTATTATTTGCCGTGTGTGGTCATTCAGTAAATATTTATCGCGTATGTAATCTTCGAAATTCAATATTGTGTGTGTTTTACATCATTTTCGCGTGGATTTCTGATCGGTTGTCGTCGGACGCCGGCCGGCAGGCTTTGTGTGTGATTACCTATAAATAATATTTTGGACTTGTGCGAACCATTTTTGACCTCTGCACAACTCGTTGGCTCAATGTGTTACCTGGTACGAATACTAATTTAACTAATTATGGAGAACAAGACGAAATTTATGGTAAACTTTGGGTTCCGCCGGAACTCATTGTCCAAAATTGTGTAACTAATGTTTTGTATCGTCTTTATCTACTCACATTTGATTTTGTTCGATACACTGCTAAGTAAAATGTTTCATCATTCATAGTATCTGTTTTCCTGATTTCTTGCAATTAGAAAATTGATATCTTTTGCGGAAATCTTTGTTTCAATAAATGCTTCAATAAAACTCAAATCATAAATCATAATTTCATGATTTAAATTTTAGATAACTAGCATGAACTACAAATCATAAAATAGAATTGTATTAGTTTTGAAGACAGTTCTATTATCAGCGTTTGTGTATAAGCAACTTTTTTATCGCATTTGCCGTGCTAGATGTTACGCGTAATACTTTCGTCGATCGTCGCGCTGTCGCACAAATTTGTATAAATCTTATTGCAGGCACCGCGTCAATTGTAATTTACTCACAAGGTCGCGTGTCATCGACGCGCTGCTGGCTTTGCGCATCTATTGCGATTCGCGCACAAGGTCGCGTGACTTCGACGCGCTGGCTTTGCGCATCTATTGCTTTTACCTGCCGGGTTTATGCAGCAGACACAAAGTCTTATTGTTAACTGTCGCATCCTTGCGTGCGCAGTTTCGGCATGCTCTTCGGCATGGATTGCAGCTAGTTTCGTGCCGGTTGGTGGCCTATTCAGACGTATGTCACGCAATGTGTTTCGTTTTATCAGACTTCTATTTTCAAAATTTTATTGTGCATAAATTTTGTTTTACTTTCTTTTTATGTTTATATTTCAAATTACAATGCTGCGGTTTTATAGTTGGTTATTGTGGGACGTGGTCGGTCGCTAGATCAATCGGAAACCTATTCGTGCTCGAGTAAGTTACTTTTATCTGACCATTGCGATACTCATCACGGAAAATTTGTTTTCTCCCGTGTGTGAATATAATATAATATTATCATATTGTATGAAATGTTTTTGTTTTAACTTAGGTTTTCCTTTAATTACAGTACTTGCCGTGCCCTTGCAATCCGATGAGCGCTGCATTGATAAGTTTATAATTAAGTTATATTATTCTGTAAAATGTTTTATCACATGCCGTATATATTTCACTTAATGGTAATATGGAAAACGGATCATATTTCGGAAAACCTTTGTGAAATGTTCAATTTTTTTATCGGAGTCTGATAGCGTTTTTTTGTTGACTTAGTTGAGTCTTATTCGGTGTACCGTAGCAGGATGGCGATAGGAGTGACTTGTGTTCAGAGCACCGTAGGGGGTGACGGTAGAAGTAATTTGCTAATTTTTTCCTAGGAATTAAAATTTCATCCCTTAAATTTCCAATCTAACTAGCTTATTTAATAGAGAATTTTTCGTAGGTTAAGGATATGCCATTCGATCCTTCTTTCTCTTTTAGTTTAGAAGATATCGCTAACGAACATATTTCGATACAATGAGAAGACCCCCCTCTTAGCATGATTTTTTCTTATGACGTATTTTTTAAAATTGCCTAAATCTCTAATTTTACTAGCCTATCTTATAGAGAATTTTTCGTAGGATAAGGATACGCCATTCGATCATCTCTATCTCTTTTAGTTTAGAAGGTATCACTAACGAACAAACCCAGCTTAACTCATCTGATAGGCATTATTAAATTGCTGGCATTTTCATACAACAAGAAAGTTGTTGCATATTTGATAAAATGTGTTTGAAACCTGCCATTACTAGATAGTCGGTTAGATGGCACTACGATGCACGTTTTCGCGCTAAATATTGCTTGTCGGTGGTAGTGAGTGCACATCGTGTCCGTGTGGGATCACGCGATTTCGCGCAAGAGATAAGTTTGTTTACCTGCAGGTATCGAATCTTTATTTCGTGGAATCAAAACACACCGTTGCTGTTTGTTATATTAGTATCGTAAATAGCAAATATTCTTCAATTCTTTCATGAATATAACGAACAGTTTTATATTAATTTTAATAGTTTATTATAAAAATCATCAAGAATGCAAAACATTTTATTATTCATCAGCAGGCACTCTGTCAGCATAAGAAATCAGAATTACACAAATCGAATTTTAATTTTTCATTACTTTTTAATAATCTAAATTTTGAAACTACTGTATCATTCATAGATGGCCCTAGCATTACCCAAAAATCGTAAAATAGATTTGTATTGTTTATTTCTATATTTATCGGTAAGCACGAGCATTCGACACAAGAATTGTGTTTGTTTTGAACACAATTCACACTTTCTTATCGCATTGCCGTGTGTCGTCGTTGCCATCCCTTCACGCCGCATGTTGCTGCATCATACTCTAAAACAGCATAGACGTTTATTTGTCTCCGCTGTTTTAATATAATATTACATGAATATAATGTTTTCTTTTCTTATTTACAGTATATGCCGTGCCTTGGAGTCCGATGTGATCTGCATTGGTAAGTTTATAATTCAATTATATTTTTCATTTTAATTCCTGCGTCGTAAATAAGTTTTTATTTACGTAGTTTTTTTCGCGTTCCACCGCGTGTTGCAAAGACACAAGACAGTCGCGTTTCAATCCGCTCCTCTCTTTTAGTATCTCTTTTAGTTTTCGATATATTCACAATCGGAGAAAACTCCCAGAGAATGAAAAAAATCGCTTTTTTTGCACTTTTATACACGATTTCAGAACCTTTACACTCCGTATTTTAATTATTTTCTTTCATAATCTTCGATCAACTGGCCGCTAGCGCTTTTAGTTTAAAAGATATGTTTTAAATTATCAAAAAGCAGGATACCCACCCCCTTGTCCATTTTTTCGCGATGGGAATCACTTCTACCGTTACTCCCTACGGTGCGCTGAACTCGAGTCACTTTATCCGCTAGCCTCATACGGTGCCCTGAACACGAGTCACTTTTATCGCTAGCCTCGTACGGTGCCCTAAACACAAGTCACTTTTACCGCTAGCCTCGTACGGTGCCCTGAACACGAGTCACTTTTACCGCTAGCCTCGTAAGGTGCCCTAAACATGAGTCACTTTTAGCGATAGCCTCGTACGGTGCCCTATTTATTGCGACAAAATTCCGTCACGCGAGTTATATTGTTAGTTGTGTGTATACGCACTAGTACTGGTTGCGCTAGAAATTGTAGTTTTTTTTAGTATAACACGCGAACGCGGTCTTAAAGTGATTTCGGAATCATTTTCTCAGATGCGGAATTTAATTCCTTATTTTCCTGTATTGTAATTTATTGCAATAAAATTCCGTAACGCGAAGTTTATTGATAGTTGTGTG